TTTCTGAAATCCTAGATAAAAGGAATATTTTCAATTGTAAAAAAATCTTCCAACGTAGAACCAAAATGTATATACGTGTTTACACTTTTGGTATTTAGCAGAATACCTTAGATCTGTCTCCGAATAACCTTCTGACGTCAAGCAACAATCACTTTTTAATTATGACGTCCAATGTTTTAAATTGTGATGTCAAATATTACGGGAACTTGTGTGATTTTAAGTAATGACGAACAAATTTGCATACAAGTGTAAACACGCCTATTAAAAGTAGTATAAAGAAATAAACCTTGCAATAAAATCATAAACCGACGAGGATCCGTGATTTAGAAAAAAGGTACCCATCAATGCAATAGTAGGAGTGTGACTTGTAAAATGTTTATGTATCAATGACATATGTATATCCATAAGGGGACCCTGTACCCCTTAATCTGCCTCTTATAACTAGTTTCTCTAAATAGTTTACTGATAAATGTAGCAAATAAACAAACTACTTAAGACCGGTAATGCTGAACATATTTTTAACACTTTTTGCGCATGTTCCAAGTCAGGAACCTCTGGCCTTTGTTAGTCTTGTATATTTTCTTAATTTTGGTTCATTTATATGTTTCGGAGTTTAGTGTGACGTCCATTTTTGCTGAACTAGTATACATTATTGTTAAGAGGCCGGCTGAAGCCCGCCTCTGTTTGCGGGATTTTCTCGCTGTGTTGAAGATCCTTTGGTGGCCTTGGGCTGTTTTCTGCTCTTTGGTCGGTTTGTTGTCTCTTTGACGCATTCCTCGTTTCCATTCTCAATTTTATATCTAGATACTCATATATTACTTTTAAGACCTAAACAAAGAGCTCATTCCTGTAGAAAAGTAAGTACTAGATCATCGTGACATTATAATATTGATAAAATAACACAGATTTAAAAACTGTTAAAAACTATTAGAAATACTCCAATTCAAAATGAAAACTTTTTTGTATGAACAATTCGCAATAAATGTAAATTTCATATATATAAACCATTAACAAGAAATTTTACATAATTCATGAATGGATGTTTGTTATCTTTTATATTTTTATGGAGATGTGTTGTTGGTATTTTTATACCAAATTTTTGATCGAAATTTCCTAAACATTTGCAGTTAACAAGCAATAATTTGCACACATTGTACGATATAAATTACGCCTGATATATAAAATAAAATAAAAATTATCTTTTGATGACGTGACACATTTACATTTTAGACTTTTATTCGCATAGTATTGAAATACAATAAGCAATAATATTTTGTTTAATACAATTCAATTCAATCTTAATTGTCATTATACTACTCCCTTATGATGATGATGATGGATTGCTGCTTAACGTCCGGGGAAAATTAAATGCATATTCAGGACGAGAACATGTTAATGTAATTTAAAAAATTAACCCTGTTTTGTACTAAAGTGCATGCTATTATATTGTGATGACATACATGCATATATTTAACAATAAATAGTAATCTAGCAATATTGCATTACAAGTATATGTGTATAAAATCTACATTTAAAGACTTGAATAACAAATATACATTAGTACTTGCTAACAAGGGGGTAAATAACGACGTGTTTCTTTTACAAAAGTATTACATCGACGGCTTACTTTAAAAATTGTTTAATTCGAAAGTTTTTGGTTGGAACTTTTTATCAGAAAAGGATGTAATAGAAAACCACTTAGCTAAAGATGTATAAGTTCAATCGTAAAGTCAAAATCACAATGTTCTAACTGTATCTTGGCTAGTTACATACAATATAAAAAAAACTCTTGTACATCCCGTTTCATATATGCTTCAGGTGTACTACATGTACTACTGAAATGTCTGTCCTGTCATTCAATACCAATTAACTTCTGTTGATTATGTAGTTTACTCTCTTATTTTTTCTTCTTCCTTTTTACATAAACGTATTTATCATTGACTTGTTAAACTAATTGTATTTAGCTTCTGATGAATTAGGTCTTGAAGTCATCTTTTGTAATGATGGGTATGTTTTGGATTAACATAAACTTTTTTGTCATGAGTAAACAATTTTCATAATAGCCGAATATCTAGAAAGTAAAACAGTTGAAACCAGCTTGGAGAATTGTTTTTTTTATAACGGCAGTAAAAAAAGAGATGCGAAAGATACCAAAGAGACATTCAAACTCATAAGTCGAAAATAAACTGACAACGCCAAGGCAGAAAAGAAAAAAAACTAAACGACAAACAACAGTACACAAAACACAATAAAAAAACTAAAGACTGACCAACACGAACCCCACTTAAAACCGCGGGTGATCTCAGGTAAGCAAATCCTGCTCCACATGTGGTAAACGTCGTGTTACTCATTACCAAACTAAACGCTGTAGCTACCCAAGCATGCTTTCTGGAGTACCAAGCATATTTCAACCTGCTTTACAAATTATGCTCCTTTTGTAAGTAAGTAAGTTTAGATTGTGATGGTAGATGCCTTGTGTCCAAAATTTTTTGTGTGTTTTAGCTTACATCATATATTCAATTATGCAAAAGGGAGATGTATGTTCCCGTTTAACTAATTTAACCCCGCAACATGTTGGATCTGTATCGGTTAAGGCTATGCCTGTGATGTGTTTTTCGTAATTGTTTATCCGTGTTTGTTGGTCTGTTTATTCCGGAGGAGACGGGCATTTGTAGTATATACTGTGCGGTATTTTTCGCAATTCTTTTTATGCCCTCTGATGTATTAAGTTTATAAGATTTACGAATTATATCTACATGGCTTTTTTTCGACAGGAAATAAAAGAATAGCTATTATCACACTCTATTGACACAATCGTTTACAAACTCAGCTTGATGACTTTGAAGGCAATTCCAGATACGTTGAATACGATAAATATCAGTCGGTGGTGCTATATTCAGATTATAAATCGTTTCTCTGGAACTCTGGGAAATATTATGTTTTGATATTAATATCTTCGTTTACACATTTGCAAAATAAGTGTAAACACATATACAATTTAATGAAGCATGTTTGCATTTATGTCATAACAACATCCCGTGTGTCAATGAGAAGCAGAAACAATTGATGATTGTACTTTCATTATTTAATTCGTATAAACAGTACCTATGTGAAAACATGAATTTGAAAGGAAAAGCAATTAAAACAAGATATCGGCATTTTGACTGCTGTGACAATTATCAAGATTGAAAGACAAATGTCAAGAAAATGAATTACTTAAGTATATCATATGACATTGCATATGTTTTTCAGATGATCAACTCACATGGCGTTGTCTGGCTTTGTGTGCCATTTTTCTTCTTACTTACGACATATCTCCGGGAGTACACAGCCTAAGCATTAATTATCATAACTATACGGAGATTTTCGTGTTCTTTGCTTTTAAATTTCTTTATCTATTTGACCTTTCAACTGGTTTGATTCGAGTGTGACTGACGAGACAAACGTCGGTTTGATTTGTCGATGGAGTATATTTAACATCGTGTATACTTCTAAAAACACTATCCTGGTTCCCGGTACTACGTTCCACTGAGGTATTACCTGATAGCCATACACTGTCACTGTTATATTTGTATATGTGTAACATACTGAATATTGCGATCTGGAACTAGTCTATAATAACACAAGCATTAACACCAGTTAGGTATACATATTGATGTTGCAGAATATCAACTTGATGTTTTTAGAGTATCCATAGTTTTGAAAAAGATAGGGAAAAATTCCTCGAATTAAAAAATCAGATTGCTATTTTAATGACGTTGGTTTTTGACGTCTCAGTCTAATCATCGGAATAAAATAGAATAGCACGACAATGTTGATAAAACGATAAAAATATTAAGTTATTTTCTATGGATGACGACTAAATAATAGCAGATAAACAGGAAAAGAAACATATTTCATGTTTGTTTTGTTTTTTCTTCTTTGCAGGTGATAGCCTAGCATATCATAATGGCAAGATGTTCACTATTAACGACCGAGATAATCATGATCATGGGGCCGTAACAAGTAACTTCGCATTTGTGTTATTTATAGATTGCTTTTTTCGTTTTTTTTTTTTTTTTTCAGTTCTTGTCGTTGTCTTGACGGTATTTTATTCCATATCTTATTTTTGATTGTCGATTTGGTGACATCTGTCTTTTTTAACAGAATAAATATAATCGATATCTTCACATCTTTCATGAGCACCAAAGATCATCCCGGTTTTTTGGTTGGGTTCGTGATACTTTCCGGGTTCAATGTTGCCTTATATTGTACTTGTCCGGACACTTTTATTGGCCATTAATGCAGCATGTATACTGAACACATTTTTTTTCAAGCTGAGGGATGGTCATGGTGCATATTCTCATGTATTTCCGAATAATATAAATGAAAGTACTTCAGTTTACTCCGTGTGTCTGTGTGCAAGTGTGCACGTTCTTGTTCAGTGTTAGAAAGAAGTGAAAATTCGTAAAAGGTTACAATTTTTCCCTATGGCACAAACAAACTATGGTTACATTTATCTCAGATATGTAAAAAAAAGATAGTATAAACTATTGAGAGGTTACTTGAAAATTATTTTAATGCAATTAATTATTAAAAAGATCAAGAGATTTGGTATGATTTCCAATGTGATAACTATCCACCAGAGACCAAATGATGTATATGTACATGTATGCAACTTTATTCAAACAACTCAAACTAGAAAACCAACGACCGGAGTTATGTACAATAAACGAAAAACAAATATAACAACCTGCAACCGACGACATCGTCTGAATTACAAGCCTCTGACTTGGGACAGGCACATACGGAATGTGGCAAGGTAGATATGTTTGCGACTGAAAGCTTATTCAAAGCAAATAACAACTAATTAATAAATCCTGACTCACAGAGTAAAACATCAATTAGTTAATGGATTGAGTGTAAAACCATTTAACAAAAATGAATTAATTGGTAATTATGTGAAACTAAAGATTGGAATTCTATTAAAATGACTCTGATGGAAAATAAACGCAAGGGGATTACGAAATATATCTTTATTACAAACAAGAGAAAATTGCAAAATGTCTTTAAAATAATTTTAAACTTACAAGTTTATAGCATCATATGTGTACGTTAAAAGGCTAACACAAGAATGTCGTATCGCCCAACATTTATCCTTAAGGAAAATGCCAGCGTATTTGAGTAGTTGTTGAAGAGTATAGACGTTTGAAATGAAATCTTAAATAGTCTTTCGGAAGTAAACATTCAGCGTTGTACTATCTTTTGGGAAAATTATTTTTTTTATGATTGTGAACAATGATTGTGTAATGATGTTGTACTAGATATTTGCAGACTTATACCAAGCAACAAATTTTGCTATACCATCTTTTAGTGCAACTTTAGGATAGTATCCAAGTAGTCCGCGTGCTTTACTTACATCAGCATATGTTTTAAATACGTCACCTTTAGACATTTCTTTGAAGTTTATGTTTGCTCTCTTACCTACTTCTTTTTCTATAGCATGAATAAATGTCATCAATTGCTGTGGCTGGCCACGTCCCAAATTTAAAATTTCGCAATCAAATGGAATATCTAAAGTATTTACAACTCCGTCAACTATGTCATCAATGTAAGTAAAATCACGTGACAAATCGCCATTATTAAAAACTGATATAGGATTGCCCTCAGATATATTTTTAGTAAATGAGTAATAAGCCATATCCGGTCTTCCCAAAGGTCCATAAACAGTAAAGAAACGTAGTCCTATTGATCTTAGTTTGTATATATTCCAGTATACACGAGCTAATAGTTCGTTCTCGCGTTTTGTTGCTGCATAAAGTGATGCCGGTAGATCAACACGATCACTCTCTGAAAAGGGAACTTTTGTATTTTGCCCATACACAGAGGATGATGAAGCATAAATTAAAGGAATGCTTCGTCTTTTTAATATCTCAAGCAATTCTACAAAACATTCTACATTTGATTTTACGTATGCCTGAGGATGCGATCGAGAATATCGAACACCAGCCTGAGCTGCCATGTGCACTACATGCGTGATAGCATAGTCTGTGATGATTTCAATCAATTTAACTCTATCACAGACGTCTACATGACGAACTAATCTAGACAGATTTGAACGTTTGTATTTTAAATTCACGTCATAATAGTGGTTGAAGTTATCTATTCCTATGACACTAACGTTATATTGTCGTAGCCTCGTTATGATATGATGTCCTATAAATCCTGCACCACCAGTTACTAGAACAGACTTTCTGGTCCTTGATAAAGAAACCTTAGTATAAGATTTGTCGCTAGATATATCTCTCATTATACATGTACCATATAAGATCAAAACCAAAATTATTCCACCAACTGCTTTTAAAAATTTTGAACGCATGATTTTTCGTTGTAAATTAGATTCAGTCATAATTTAACTATACATTTTGATGGCTTTACTTTGTCTTTTTGATAGTATTACACAAGAATCTTTCAGAAATGGTTCAACTTATATGAAGTGAAATATCAGCCTCACAAACGATATATATGTACGTGGTTTCCAAACGTAAGTGGAATTACGGCGCGAAGAGTGTAAATAGTAAACAAAAAAATGTAAGGACTATTATAGACAAAACAATCCAGCGCATATAAATTATGTTCTCCGATGTATGTTGTAATTAGAAATAAGCAGAAGTGTTATGATTTCGGATAAGACAAATATCCATCAAAAACCAAATAGCCTGGATGAATTCGTCGTACGGCCTTCCACAATGTCTGTAAGTACTCTGTAATGTATTTAGATATGAAATGTTTAAATGAAAAAAAAATGTTATTGATGAAATGAGTAAATACATATATATAAAACCCCAAAGAATTTTAAATTTCATTATTTATGAATGTTTTTTTCTTTTCTTTTATATAATGTAGTTGGTAGAATAAATTTAGAGAGCGGCTAGATATCTTTTCAAAGTTCTTATCACCATACCTTCTACAGTAAATAATGGCCTACAGGAATATTGAGATGAGTTATATTCAACCAACGATGTCAATCAGATATGTATTCTTGACAAATTTAAGATCTGCTCCAGAATCTTCACTATTTTGCATTCATTGGTAGAATCGGTAGAAAACATTAGTACTTTGAATAATTTAACATTTCATAAACATTTAGAAAATGGACATATCAATTTAAAGACCGTATTTGAAAAAACCCGTCACATTCAACGGACAAACAAATGTAACACAAACATAAATATATTAGGTAAAGTATGGAAAGCCACAGTGAACCCCCCGATTATTATTATTTTCCCCTTAGAAATACATGGATTTAAATAAATCTTCGGCTTTTAGAATCCCGCCGATTATTATCAATTCTAAAATCTTCGGCTTTTAAAAATTCCCCGCCGATTATTTTCAATGTCGAAATCTATTCATCCAATTTTTAGGAGGGGTATTTTCGGGACACACAACTTTTAACTAAAAAAAAACTGTTTGACAAGCTAATAATTTGTTTATAAAGGTATCCCACCTTTGCACATACAGAATAAGAATGATCGGTGCGTTCGAAGGTACATGTATGTCCACTTTACAATATCTAATTTTAAAAACAAACAAAATCTTCAAAAGAATATATAATTGCATTACCTGTTCTCAGAGACACCCAAACTGTTACAGCGTTGAAATACAATATTGTTATGAAAAAGTAAATGTATACATGAACGCATGCTGATTAATCGATTTAAATAATTCAATTCAATATTTTATTGCATATAAACTTTACAGTTTGTGACATATAACAAAACAAATCAATGACAGCTGTGTACAAAATTGAACATCGGTCAGTTTAATTGATGACATTGCATGCAACGCTCTGTATTACCAGTATGAGAGTTGGATTCAGGTCAATAAGACAGCAACCCAAATTCAATTATAGTTGAAACAAGTTGCTTTTAAAAAAGAAAAAAAGAAAACCAAAACGTGAACCCGAGAAAGCTGTTTGTACTAATGGTAGAGATGGTATAGAGAAATTGAAAGTCCAATTTACATGTGAGATGTGACTCTGTGGCATGTAAATTATAAAAAAAATATGTGTTTTGTTCTTGAGAGTAACGTTAACACACCAGCTTCATTAGGACCTCTTATATACTGACAACTAATTTGGTTTCATAAAACATCTCATATTTTAAGGATTTCCTGAAGTTACTTTAATCAATCTAAATTTTCTACAGGAAAAACTAAGTTTTGAAGAATATCTTGATTCAGATTTTTTATGAATACCTGAACATGCTCTCAAAAGAATCAATTCATATAAAAAGATATGTTTGGTTACAGTAAATAAACTTATCATGGATACCAGTTTAAAATTTTGCACGCCAGACGCGAGTTTCGTCTACAAAAGACTTATCAGTGACGCTCGAATCATAAATGTTAAAAAGCCAAAATAAAGTATGAAGTTGAAGAGCATTAAGGACTCGAAATTCCAAAAAGTTTTGCCAAATACACTAAGGCTAATGTATTCCTGGGGTAGAAAGTCCTTAGTTTGAAAGTTTATAAAAGGACAGTCACTAAAAAAAAAGAAAAGAGAAACAACTAGAGTTCAGAATACATTAATGATAATCATGCTTCAAAGTCACATGTCAAGCTCTTACTACTTTGATCTGAATTTAGATAAGAAATGCAAAAATTCACATTGCGCGAATAAAAAATAATATTCTTCATGCACATGGTTTTCTTGCGCAAGAAAAGGTAAATGGAAAGCATACGCACTGATATTCTGGATTAAAATATGCATTTGCGTCATCACGTATATTTATTCAAACTGCCAGCTATACAATTTTCAAAATCACACCACATTGCAAAGATTTAGATGCTATAAGGTTGAACTATTAAATACAAAAAAGAATTTAATTTAATTAACCTATATTCCTGATGGATATTTTTTTTATCAAATCAATATCTTCTTCAATGCAAACTTTCAATTTTATGAATATATTGCTATAAAAAATATAATACTTGGTTTCATAAAACATCTCATATTTTACGGATTTCCTGAAGTTACTTTAATCAATCTAAATTTTCTACAGGAAAAACTTAGTTTTGAAGAATATCTTGATTAAGAATTCTTATGAATATAAGAAGAGACTAGAACTTATAAACCATACTAAAACTAGTACTTGTATGATTGTCGTGGTTTTGGTGGAGTTCGTGTTGCTCAGTCTTTAGTTTTCTATGTTGTGTTTTGTGGACTGTTGTTTGTCTGTTTGTCTTTGTCTTTTTTTTTCTTTTTTTAGCCATGGCGTTGTCAGTTTATATTCGACTGATGAGTTTGAATTCATCCCTTTGGTATCTTTCGCCTCTCTTTGTAGAATATTAATGTTTTTGTGAGAAGTAAGGATTTAAAATCTTTGTGAATTTAAACCATGCAGCTATTTTTTATCACTCAATATAGTTAAAGTTTTAGATACTAATTTATTTGTGGGTATCCCTGATAATTGGTGCTCATATGTTGCATATGATTTTCATAAATGCAAATTATATCTTTAGAAAATTTAAAAAAATTGAACTTTAAAATTGATGAGAGTAAAAAAGGAAATTATTTTCGTTTACTGACAGCTAACCAAAAACTAATATTTCTTTTAATAATCTATTTAAAGTGTCATTTATACTTAAAGAGTAAATTTATCGATATCGATTGTGGCCCAATTAAACGCATGCACACTGCGGGTGCTGATAATAGTTGCGTATGGTATTCACTGTTAAAATCTTAGGGACATAATATAACATTATCAATTATTTCTATTAATGATAAATCAAGTTACAGTTTAAACTTAGTATTAATGAAATTAATTATTTTTTACAGAAATTTCGTTTTGTTTAATTATATTTCTGCTTTCCAACCAAAGATAATTATTTTTAACAGAAATATCGTTTTGTCAATTTTCTTCTTGCTTTCCGACATTTGCTCAGGCTGTGATGGAAATACAAAATATCACGTGGTAATTGTTCAGAAATATTCAGTTTATTCTGGGAGGCTTTTGTCAAAATGCACAATAGCACGTTGTATTAAATATACACGCACCAGGCGTACAGGGACCGTCTCAAAACTTAAATTATATAATTGCGTTATCATTATACTTGATATTTAATAAACATTCAAATCAAAACGCATAGACCCCTAATTATGTTTTGTCAAAAGGCAAATAGGTTGGAATATATAAACTATTTCTTTACTGCAATCTAATCTACATTTTTACTTTTGATCTACAAATAAACTTTGATTGTTGAAAGTATATACAATGTCACGTGGTACCCTATCATATGGATCAGAGGGACTGTATCAAAAACATAGATAATTACCTGTTTAAATGATCCAACATTTTCGAGTACAGAGTACTCAGTGGGTAATATTCTTAGTTCTTCATCTGTGTGACGTGATTCATGTACAAGAATTACGGACATTTCAAGGCGAGATAACTCGTGTTACTTTTCTATTCTAGTTCCCATCTTGTTCTCATCGTCTGGTGACCAGTAGATAAGAATAGATAACTCCCCTAAACGAACACCCCGCCAATAGATGTCACGTTGACGTTATGCCTATATAGGGTAATTTATGATATTAGCAGTTATACGATAATTTCGAACGCATTTGGATTTAAGAAAGAAACACTATACACAGATGAATGATGAAGAAATTGTCGATAGTAAAGAAATAATTAAAAAAAGAAAAGTTTTGCATTCCCTTTGATGTAGAAAGAATATTTTCTGTTAACGATGGTTCAAAAGAGATACGTTAACATGTTATTATATTTCCTATATTTATAATATATGTATATCTGTTGATCAATACTTTTTTTAATTTTTTTTTCTTAATCTAGTAAATTTTCTTATTGTATGAAATTTGTAACCCTGTTTATACTACACACGACCTTTTCGGAAGCCTTAAGATAGTCCAAATAATTTATCATCGGTGTTTCTGATTTTAACATGTTCAATAAAAGAAACCTTTTAAGGCCGCAGGCAAACTGATCTATCCCTGTATATTTCTTTTTAATACATCAGTTTCACATTTAACTGCGCATGTCTAACCTAATTAGCCAAACTGTGAAATCATGCGATAATTCCCGAGAATTCATCGACTGGGGGCTTACGGTTGATGTAAGCAGTGACCATACAGACCTGGAAAAACAATCACCTGATTAAGTGTTTGCGTTTATATGTACACGAGCATCATTTGAATCAAAATATATATTGACGAGACAACTTTATTAACAATGACACATTAAAAGATTTTTAAACGGACTACTGTTGTGTTGTAGGTTTTAGTAATAGACGATCTAATATGCCGCCTGACTTTGTACCTTTAATTGTCCCGAAGAAATGCTTGGATTCCCGCTGAAGTTGTTCACTTAGCGGGAAGAATAAATTAGAAAAATAAGCGGAGGTCACTTCATATCAATATATTAGGTCACTAATAAATTAAGAAGTCAATTAACACCTTATCCATGTGGAATCCTAGTTTTACCTTGTACAATCTCACCAGGTGACAATAGATAATAACGTACCCTTTTCTTCATACAGTTGCTGAAAAGGGGACGACCATTTGATATTCTGACGGAAGCCAGAAGGATTTTTTCGGATTGAATATTCATCGTCATCTGTTTTGCTACCTGGGAATATTATACTGTCAACCACGATTTAATGTCCCAGTTGCTACGCATTCTATTATATTTTTTTTTTGGCTGCGCGAAAATTTATTTAACTTTTGTTCACAATTATTTCCTGCATT